ATTAATCAACATTTTTAAATTAAATCGACTGGTTGAAATTTTGACATAAAAAATTCTAAGATTTTGCAATTGATTTAGCAATATTTGTTTTGGTGTAATGAAAATCAACTGAGCTCCGCTATTTTATTAGATTTGTCAGCTGTCGCATAACTCACACAGATACCTACAACAATTGTGTCGCCTTCCGATGAATTTGGAAATTAACCTTTTACAAAAGTCTACACATATGTACATATGTATATATATATTCTATTTAAATACAATTTGTTACCCTGCACCAAAGCTACAGCTGTTAATGGAATATTTTGAACTTCCGTGAAGTAAATGAACAGACGCGACGAATTGTATAAATTTATATACATATTTAGGTGCCTGCATGCAATTTTTTTATATATGCGCAAATACATACGTACATATCAAATGTGCTTAGAACACTTTTCTACAGATACGAATATAGTATACTTCACTAAAGATTGCTAAAAACTCAAACGAAAAGGCAAATATTCATTTGACAAAAGCAGCCAGTCATAGCAGAGCCGGAAAAATTATGGAGTCTACGGAAAATTTTATAAAAACAACATCCGCACGCATATAACTGATGCTCTGTCTGACTGTCTGCACTGACGAATAAACCCGCCCGAATACCCGACCGCAATACACAAGTAAAATGCCAATTAGTCATAGAGACAACTGTGCGACAGTACGACAGTGCGTATACGTGAAATTCGGCGAGGTACAAGAGCAGCAGCTAACATAGAATTTGATTCGGCTCTTCGTTGCTGCCACAAATAACATCGGCAAACAGCCGGCTTTTCATTTCCTTTTCCTATATAAGCAAGTTATCGTGATTTTCGACGCATTCATAATATATATATAATATAAATATATATGTGTGTATGCTATATATACTACATTTGCATTTGCTTATACAGAAATTTCTGTTTTGTTGCCACTTTCTCCGATAGTTGATCGGCATGTGACACTGGAACATTTTGGCAGACATTAAATACATACACGATTTCACAGCAATACATACATGCATACTCGTATATGTCTGTGTAATGCGTATTTTGGAGGGGCGTTTACTACCGAAATATCGCTGAGCTTTTAGGTTCGGGTCAGCGCTGTTGATAGGTGCCGCATTTACACACAACCACACAATCACACACACGCACAGGCACACTCATGCTCATACATAACTTCATCTGCACACGCGTCAATTACTCGAATGGCCTTGGCAGTCATGGCAAGTCACATACATAAATGTTATGAATACAAACAATCATAGTTATGCCCAGATATAGCGCTCACGAGTATACAACTTTCAGTACAGCAGCCGATACAGAAATAAAACTGTATGCAGATATAAAAACATACATATAAACTTATATTTGTATGCGTGTAACTCCTGCTGTAGGTATACAAGAGTCAAAATTGCCTGCAAAACGCATATGTTCTTGCTTGTATTTTTGGTATACTCATATACGCATATGTATGTATATACGCTCCATCGGTTCCGCTTAGGTTTGTTGGATACCTCCGCTTGGCAACCCTTGGTTTCATTGTATGATGGCAGCTGATGGTTTGCCTTGAATTGCTTGAACAGCAGCAACATTGTAGGCAGCCGGTATCGTGGGAATGCGTAGAGCGTTTGGGATTTTGTATAATTTTTTCGTCAACGCACACTCGTGGTTGTGCGTTTCGTCGGTATCGGTGGCATTGTCTGAATTTAGGTTGCCGAAAATGTATTACTCGCACTCCATTTTTGAATACATACACACAATACGCATGACTCTGTCTACTTATATATGTATATGTACATACGAGGATTGCTTTTAATATTTCCGGACTTTGAAAATTTTTATTGGTGAACGTGCTAAAGGCTAAACACTTATCCATGGGTTTGGAAATTCGTTTGCTATCAATCTTAGGAAGACAAAACTCTTCATGCTAAACAAAATCCCTTAAACAATTCTTTTGGTGATTCCTTTCTGTTACTTCTAAAGTTTATCAGTGGATCTAAATCCACATATTTAAGCTTAGCTTTTAATCCAGGCATTTCGTTTAATAGGTTGGGTTATGTTGAATTGCCTGACCCAGCGGATCTCACTTAAGCGTTATTTCCTCCGTCTTGGTGTCAGACACGCTACAAATCTATAACGCTACTGTATCTGGTTTGAAGAACAATTCCAAAGTTGAAGTAGTCGTTTTTATTCTTTGCCGATTGAAGCTCCTGCCATTTACCTGCGGCAAGTAAGCCTTTGTCTGTCGAATGTTGCACCCTCAAAGTTAACGTGCTCCACTGCCTTCACACATTCCCTAGCTATCTTGGCCTTGTTGTCTTCTGTCAAACCTAGATTAAAGACATGACGTCAAAGGCAAGACTACGTTTAAGTTCCTACCAGCAGCCTGCCGAAGTAAGATTATTTCTTGCGTTTGTTTCATTACCCTGAATTATTACGGTCTGTTCTAAAAGGACATCCTCCTTAGCCACTTAGTCAGCTATCTCATTGCTCCTAGCTCACAGGAACTAAATACTCTTCTTTTTTCAGATAATATTTTTATTGCCCATTTACATGGTGTTACCCCAGCCAACCTCATTCATGCTGTATGAAATTAAAACCTTATCGACCGCTCGGTTATCCACATAAATGTTCATTCACTTCCTTAGAAAGTCTACTCTACCGCGATATTTAACTTCATCTGCTATATTGAAAGCAAATATTTCGGCTTGGAAGATACTTCAATGGCTTAGAGGCTTCTTAAATGATTTTTTCTCTAGTTAGGCATGGTGAACTGGAGCCCCTACTCCTTCGTTTAGTTTAGAACCATCTGTAAAAATATGTCGAGCTTTGCCTCCATATTTCAGCTCTTTGCTCCAGCCATTCACCTCTATTGCAGCTTATAATCATTTCCCGAGGGTCAGACACTTATTTTATTCCTACATTTAAGGGTAGCGCTATACTACCATTCCCCTATGTCCTAATTTTGAACTGCCTAGAACCGTAAAGCCTCGTGACAGTTAGGAATGCCATGTTTACAACAACTTCATTTACTACTAAAATGCTCAGAATCTCATGTTATGCTCCAGATGGCATTGTTTTGAATGCCTCGGTGATGCATATCATTGAAAGTCTGAAGACCATCTCGGGTCTTTTTAGATTTGTTATTTCATCCATAACCTTCCACCAAACCAAAGCAACTTAGAAGAGCTTAGCTTAACAATACCAACGAGAGAAGAGACCTCCAATGCAGCATACCATTCGTGTATTTAGCGCTGGCTCTTCTACGTTGAGTCTCCTTGACAACGTATTACGTAATACAGTTGCCTAGTGCAAGGTTCCAGCTGTAAAGTTGCATCTCTCGGCATTAGTTTTATCGAAGTTGGAATTTTGTATTTCCCTGTGAATAGAACTAGACCTGTTTTATCATCTGCTAAAATAGCCCAATTATTAATAGCTCTTAGCATCTCATTCACCTCAGATCAAGTGATTCTCAAACACCTCCGCTTAGACGTTGATATCGTTTAATAGGAAAATCTTCAATTCAGTACTAAATAATGAATTGTGAAATTTATAGCTCTATATAATCGGTGGACCGCATCTTGATGATTTTTTCAACAAATGGCGGACCTCTTTCATATACCAACTTCTTATTTTATATCAGAATTAGGCTAGAAGGATCGATATTCACTGGTGAAGGGTGAGCGCATTTATTGAAATAATTTTCTTTAATATTGTATGTTGGTCTAAACAAGAACTTTCGTAATACACACTCCTGTCATCATTTTTTAGGTGGGCGTTATGGTTAGCACATACTACTGGGTCGGGCTAGATGAATTCGATGAAAGCTAGATGTGCTCTTCTGCATGGGGAATTATATATTCTTTCAGCTCAAAGAAAAACGCTGAAGGTAAACAAAGTTTCTTGCTCTTCCAAGATCACAAGTCTTATATAAGTCCGAGGTATACTAATTTGTATGGCAAGCGTTGGAATATTTATGCCAAAATATCTTAATTTTTACTAGAACCTTTTGAAATACGGAAAGACATACGTATATTTCATTTACATGTACTAAACTTATGGTATATATCCATACGTAGGACATCCCGATTATTATCTGCTCCTGTAGTTCCTGTGTGAGTAAACAAATTTAATTTACACCATTCAAAAGTTCAATAATTTTTCAACCGTGGAAATGCAATTTCTTATATTTCCAAGTCAGAAACTCGAATGGCAGCCCTCGTATATACGTACTGGTGTTTGCAGAATTAAGTAGAACAATTGTGAGTTTGGAGGCCTGTACCGCAACAGCTGAACTTTCACTGCAAACACAGTGTACATGGTCGAGCTTATGTTTGCTGCTTTATCAAACTATGAGCCATAGCGAAGTGTGACAACGCAATACAAATTTTTGTCTGCATAATGTTTTAACTTTTTCTCCGCTCCACCAACAAAGCTGTCTACTGGCGCGTCTCCTATAGCCGGCGTTAGAACGTGAATTAGGTGGTGGCCTAGTGTCGGGGACGTAGTCGCGCTGTGCACTTGCTACTTGCCAAAAATGAGGCAATCTGCCTGCCGAAAAGCCGTGCAACTAACTAACTGCTCATTCAGCCAGTCAGTCTTTCGCCGAACGGTGATGCTGGTGCTTAAAATCACACGCATGGACTCACCTGTGAATGCTCGGCATAGAAAAACTCTGTTTGTGATTTATTAAATATAGTATAAACCGATATCCGAATTGTTAGTTAGTGAAAAAATATAGTAAGAAGTTAAATCTATTTAGTGCATTCTCAATTGTCAACAACATCAAATTAAACAACTATAACAATGTGTAATATACCTTTTTTATAGCTTTTTGGTGTTTGTGTATGTGTGTATGGGTGTACATGTATTGCTTTTGTCAAACAATATTCGCTCCCTCCTAAGACTTTCTCACTTAAGAGAAATTTCGACGAGTTTTCATTAATTAATATTTTTTCAAAATTCCTCTAATTTCAGTTTCAGCCGCCAATAATACAATGCAATACGGACAGAATATATCCATACCATATTCACAGCCGCAAACCGATCTAAATTTTCTCAACTCCACGGATCATAAAGGAAAGATACATCCGAAAATCGAACGCGATCGTGAAGAAGGTAAGCATTTAAACACATTTTTCTTTTGAAATTCATATTTTATTATCACGTTTGAGTTAAAGGCTTAAAAGTTTATCTGCACAAACAGTGTCTCTCATATAGACCCACAAAAAAAAGTCCAGCGGTATCGAATCGTACGATCTCGGCTGCGAATTGATCGATCGCCAAGGTGAGAGATTACGCAGCCGGGAAATTTGCATTGTCGCATTAAAGCCATAGTCGCTCGTTTTGTGTGGCACGTGTCACCATCAACCTGGTTGAGCAAGAGCAAGACTTCTTCAACTACAGACCGAAATAAGTCGGTTATCATACGACCATAATGCTCCGAATTGACAGCGACAGTCTCGCGGTTGTCTTTTTTTAAGTAGTAGTAGAAGTAAGTCCCAATCACACCTCTGGACCAAAGACAAGAACATACAACAGGTTTTTTTTTGTGTAATGCTCTCCCTTCGATTTTCGGAGGATACTCGGTTCTCGGAGCCCCTAACGAGGCAATTTACTTATTTACGTGAGAAATGTGCCTTGTTGCTGAAGAAAGTGTTGTTCGAAAAATCGCCGTCCGCTGCGTGTTGTTCAAGCAACCAATCAAGGTATATATGGCGTTGTGAGTGTTTGGTTGGCATCAGTTGTTGGCTCTTGGGAACGTTGAGAAATAGACACATTCGCGTCTTCGGCTTCACTTTCACTCACAGTAGCAATATTTGCGGTGGAACGAGAAAAACGGCAGACTTTACAATATCGATTATTGATCCATTATATTCAATTTTATTAAAAATTTTTACAATTTCTTAAGTAGTTCGATGATTTTGTATATCACAATCTCCTCTAAAAACTCGAAACGTGGCCACATTCGCATCATCAATTTCATAGCAGGTTTTAACAATTTTAACGCGTTGTCAAAAAATGTCGGGTTTGACAGCCGTGCCCTGAGTTCTGCTCTCTCCAGACTGGATATGAAAAGGAAGGATATGGGTCTGGTAGTGAACGAGGGAAAGGCGAAATATCTCCTGTCATCCAATAAACAGTCATCGCATTCACGACTAGGCTCCCACGTCACTGTCGACAGTCATAACTTGACTTCAAAGGTAACTTCTCCTGTCTTGGAACCAGTGTTAACTCCAACATTTCCAGGCTGGCATGAAAATCCAATGCAGAATCACTCTTGCCAACAGGTGCTACTTTGGACTGAGCAGGCGAACGAAAACCAAGCTCTTCAAGTCACTCATCATAGCCGTCCTACTATATGGCGCAGAATCGTGGACAACATCATTATCTGAAGAATCCGTTCTAGGAATCTTCGAGAGAAAAGTTTTGCGAACGATTTATGGTCCTTTGCGCATTGGCGATAGCGAATACCGCTGACGATGGAATGAAGAGACAGAGCCAACGCTTACCGAATGGATGAAAACACTCTAGCCTTGTAAATATTCGATGTAGTACCCGCTGGTGGATACAGAGGAAGAGAAAGACCCCCACTCAGTTGGAATTAAGGCTTCACTTGGTATTTCCAACTGGGCCCGAACAGCGATGTTGATTCGGCGCTAATGTTGATTCAGCTACAATCGCGTAAGCAGTGCCAACGCCAATTAATAAATAAAAGAAAAGAAGCCATTAAAGCCATTAAAGAAAATGGCCGAAAGGATGCTACTCATCCCCAAGAGTTGCGTTGCATTGGCTGATCTGCATATCATCCATTCTTCAGCCTAGACCTGACCCAGAGAGATTATTATCTGTTCCCACAAATGAAACAAGAGCCATCACCGATGTTGAAGTGAAGGGGACAGTTTCGGTGTATTTTGAAGATAAGGAGGAACTATTTTTTACGAAGTTATAAGCAAATTAATTAAAAAGGTATCCGTCTCGCAGTTGAATATATTGAGAGGAAAAAACAATGTCTGCTAACATAAAAACGCTTCCTCGTATAATGTCATATACATAAAGTTACGGTGAAAATTTTTTTAAGTCATCGATTCGTGACTATTTTTGTGATGGAAGTACGTACAAATAATCACCGAGCCTACAGGACTAATTTTTGTATCGTCCGTAAACAGTAGTCTTCTAAATTATCTTTCAAGAGTTGACTATATATGTATATATATAGTTGTTAGCTGCTGGCGGCCGCGGTAGCCGAGTGCTTAGCATTGCGTACTGCCATTCGGAAGGCTCGGGTTCAACTCCTGGTATCGGACCATCATCCAAGAAGTTATAGAAAATTTATTTAGATAAAAAATTAAGCTAAATTTTCTATATGCGGACCCCCCTCGGTGGGCATGTTAACCCCTCCGAGTGTATTTCTGACATGAAAATAAAAAACCTCCTCATATAAAACCATCAAATCGGAGGAGGAGCCTCGGCCGCAAAATCGATTCAGCGATTACAATGCGCCAATTTTATATAACAGCTGAAACACTTTTCGGTCGAACTTTTTCTTCAATTTGTGATTTGCATTTTGATGGTTCTTCAACAAGTGGAGGGACCAGCAGAGTTTATTCTTAGATATCTCCGAAAGGCCAATGATTTTATATGAAGAGCCTTTACTTCATGCCAGAAATATAACCGGAGGGGCGACAGCAATTGGAAAGATGAATTATCTATAACATTGGGTCTTGGTCGAAGCAATATTCGAATCTTGGCCTTCACAATGGCAGTACGAATGACAAACGCACTTTAAACTTTTTTTGAAAGCTATGTAAGAGGGACTTCAAGGCCACAAAATATCATTTTTCATTTATTTTCATATATTTTTCACTTTAAACCTACCAGCTGAGTTGTCGACAAAAGCCTAGTGGCATTTTTGCCTGCCACATGGCCGCCCAACAACAGTGCATCATTTTCGTGCCGGAGCTCCTTTTTGTCAACTTTCTTATACCCCCGACCGCAAACACATGACCACATACATGTTATTGTATAATACTTATACATACATACTTATGGCAACATACACGAGTGAGCAAGTAATGAATCGCCGGAGACATTATTCGCCCTCGCCACTTGTGCCGCAGTCATGCCCATAATTCATTAAATAAAAAGCCCATTTTTTGGGCAACAAAAAAGGACGAAACCCGCTATACATACATACATGCATACGTATATACGTTATAGGCTCGGTTTCGATTGCCGGCGACGCTACCCGCTTTTAGTACCCATTAGTTCGTAGACGGATGCCATTTGAGGAAGGTTTTTCCATTTTTTATGCAAATATATATATGTGTGTATGTGTGGCTGCGGCTGTCAGTTGTTTCCATATGATTTCATACCACCTACATACGTACCTATGTACTATATATATATAAATATATGCAAACATTTTCAGTTGCTTGCACATTTACTGACACACTTCACTTACTGACACAATATATTATATTATATAAGTATATACATATACTTACATACACGTACATCTGTATATGTATATTAAATATGAACACATATAAATAACCAAATTTTATGTCTGACCTTTCGGTCTGCTTAACGGCATATGAATAGGTATGGGTAAAATATTTTCCTTGTTCTTATACATCTTCTTTGTCTGTTTTACTTTAATCGTTTTTCCGACGCTTAACCTACGCTTAATAAACATTTATTTCAAAGTGTTGCCTTTTTTCATCATAAAATACTTTGATGTATTCAGATTACATATGTATGTACGAATGTGTAATGTAAGTCTTCTGCTCTACATTACTTTTTAAGATCCCAAAAACCGTTAAATTATGTATACAATTATTTATATATAATACTTACGTACATTCATACATACTATACATAAAAAATCTTTTTAGGAAGTATGTATGTAATTACACACATACTTATTTGTATATTCCTATATACTTGGATTTTGAGCGTAAAAATATTATTTCCACGTGTTATTCCACTTCCACATTCAAGTCATACATACACAACTACATACATATAATACTTATACTAAAAACCATGGCTGTGTCAATTGTCCTTGAAAGAAAATTGAATCCTTGCTGTGTCTAAGCAATTGAACATCAGCTGTAGTCTGGTGTGGGCAGCTTTTTTTGTTTGCATACACGTGTATCGACTGATGTATGTATGTAGGCGATTATGAGCCCCACATCACTTTTTTTGTTGGGGTAGGTTTGCCAAATTTTTTTCCAAAATTTCATTAGCTTATTTTTGCGCTTATTTTTGCGCTTATTTCCTACTTTTTGTGCTCTGAAAGTAAATTTAACATCCCATTCTTTGTTGGCATTTGTTTTTGTTTTTCTAATCCTGAGCGAATTACCTATTATATTATGCAATATAATCAATTTCATAAAATGACCTACAAGTGTGGGGTGGAATAGAACTGAGAATTGAAGGGGAATGCAAGACCCATGTGCAGACAAAAAGAAATTTGCCGAGTTGGCCTTGAGGAGCTGCCAGACAGGCGTGATGCTCTAAAATTCTTCAAACGACGACTTACAGGAGGTTTCAAGACCGGAGCCTTTGCTCCTCGTGTTTTTCTCTTTGCTAGTATCCATATTTGACGCACACTCAAGCAAAACTGAATCAACCAATCACAAAAGTGTCAGAGAAGATTTTTTAGTACAAAATACCATCTAACGGAACCGGATGGGACTCATACAACGTGAGATACAAGTAAATGACGCCAACTATTGGAAAAATAATGGACTTATTTTTACTACACTTAATATATTGCAACCGCTGACGCAATTTGTGATATGAGTCTTGATTTTTTTCCAACAGATGGATGGAGCTATAGTCTGCACCAAGCGGCCGCCGAACAGCTGATGATTTGTTTGTGAGTAGCTTCGATTGTCATGTCAGAAATACCCTCGGAGAGGTTGACAATTTACGCCGAGGAAATTAATTATTAAATTAATCGCGGCCAACAAAAACATTGTTTGATGTGCAAACTGACGTTAAGCAACACCAAGAGCTCCATCAAGATCGGCAAATACCTCTCCGAGCCATTCACACAAATTGACTCCTTATTGTGCGACTTTTTTGATTGAAAGTATTAAGTTGCATAAGTTGAATCCATAAGACTGCTGGTCAGTGGACAATACACTTAAGCCTGCAGGCCCATTATAAACCACCGTGAGCCTCCTAACACCACTACCTTCTGAACTTGTGTTGTATAGAGGTTTTAGTTGGACAGTGACAGAAATAGATTTGCCTGCTGCGGAAATGATTGGTGTTATTTTCCCTTGAAGTCCCGTTTAACAGTAACCTGTTTTCATTCCTGTTACTATCCTAATGAAGAGCCGGTCGTAGGTGTTTGATCACTTCGCACGTGATCTCATTCAGTCATTTAGAATATGGTTTCTTCGGCGAAAGCCAGTTTTGGCATATACTTTTCAATGAAAAAAATATATCTGTATAATGAATTGGATAATTGTTATTAAAAAGGGGTCCTTCTCTCGAAAGTTCATTTGCCGTGTAATTATCTGGGCTTTTCCTTTGTCCGAGCTCTCTGATGAGGACTGTGTTACATCTACTCGAGAGCTTGTTGAAAACGCATCTACATATTTAGGCACTTTTGATAAGGCTCTTACAGTATACTCGTAGTGATCTGGTGGCAGTTTGGCTCTCGGTCTGCTACCATCGTAGTCCAATGCTCTTATTTGATGAAGGGCTTTTTGTGTTCTAACATTCGTTACTATTAGGAATACTAGTGAAAAAGAGAGCGTCCAAAACTGGAGGGTCCTTCTGCACTTCTGCCGGGAAAATCATCGAAATCGGGTGACCATTATTATAGCGTCCTTACGCGTCACTGTAATTCATTGAGTTTAAGAAAATTATGAATTGTGTAGATTACAATTGAATATTTTGAAATAAGCTTCCATGGCTTTGCTTTTGTACTTTAACCAATTCTAATCTACATCAAATTATTTTTTCTCTTTTCAGTCTTGAATCAACAATTATCAATCAATCAATCTTGGCAAACACTAGCCAACACTGCCAACACCGTTGACTACTCATCGCATTTGTTATCTGCAACACTGCCAATCTCAATACAGCACTTCCTTAAATATTCCGAAACAATTAAGAAGGAAACCTCAGGTATTGTCGGCTCACAAATCAACTCAGGGAATTTGAATTTGAGCAATTTAGATACGTCACCATCGGGTTTTAAAGGTGGTGACGTCCTCAAGAATGGCACCAATTTGAGTCTGGCACTTGGCGGCGTTGCACTCGCCCCACCGTCCAATCAGCAAAGTAACGGCGCTACACATCACAATGGTGGTATTATTGGCATGGATCATGGTAGTCATATGGCTAGCATGGCGGATGCCACAAATAACGGTACGCCACTACATCAGGCCGTTAATGGTAATGCACCCAACCCAAATGTTAATGGGCAAGCTAATAATGGTCAAACAGCCACTGCCAACGGTACGATTACGAATGGCAATGCAGTTACGAGCACTGCACCAGCTGGCACTACAACTACCTCAACCGGTAGTAGTACCACCGGCAAGAAGACCAGAAAGAAGAAGCCACCAAAGGAGAAGAAACCACGCCCAAAGCCGGGTGAGATTCGAGAGATAAAAGCATTGGACGGTTCCACACTGTATTGTTGTCCCGAATGCCAGATGGCATATCCGGATCGTACTCTAATCGAACAACATGTCATCTCTCATGCCGTTGAACGGCGATTCGTTTGCGACATTTGCAATGCCGCTCTGAAGCGTAAGGATCATTTGACCCGTCACAAGTTGTCTCACATACCCGATAGGCCACATGTATGCAATGTAAGTGGAGTTGAGGCAGTTGAGATGTAACTTTGTATATTTATGTATAAATTTAATGTGTATCTTTTTGCATTCTGTAGATATGCATGAAGTCATTCAAGCGTAAGGAGCAATTAACATTGCACATCGTCATACACTCCGGGGAGAAGAAACATGTTTGTGTTGAGTGTGGCAAAGGTAAGAGCAGTGTTTTTTTTCTAAAGGTCGAGATATGCATATAATAACGGGTTAAAATTAGTCTTACTACTGAAATCTACGTCAACCGACAATCTAGAAATTTATATTACCCCCTATCTTGGCCGATATCAGAGCCTAGTAGCATCATGGCTTTCCATAAATAGATAACTCGTGATCTGAACCAAGATCTATGACACAACGAAATTCAACTTGTCAAAAGCTTTCAGCTAAGTGAGGCTAAACATGTTTAGGTGTTTTCGAGTGAAACTTTTGATTTGAGTTTAAAAGTAGACAGCCACTTCTCTGACGTATTTCCCCATTAAAACCTAATAACTTCTTGAACGCAACCCATATGCTCTAGCGGTACGAAGGAGTGCTGAAATTTTGATATATGAGATTCCTTTTTATTTGTAAAACTTGAACCTTTGGCATTAACACATCAGTGAAATTACCGTTTCGTGAGATTATGATTTCGATCCATTTAAGCTATTTTCGACCCTTTTTTTTGTAACAAATTATTATTATAAAAATATTGGTTTTCAATTTTAAAAATTTTTATTTTTATTTTAAAAATATTGGTTTTCCAGTTCTTAAGAGTTAAAGGTTTATCCACACGGACTTTCGCGTGGGTCCCCAAAAAAAAATTCCATAGGTGTCGCCATGACGAGAGATTACGCGGCCTGAAAATTTCACTCGCACTTTTATGTTGAAACCATAAATTGTCCAAGTCATCTTCTTCAATAGCAGGCCAAAGAGGTTGGTTGTTCATAGAACCATAACGTTCCGAATCGCAGTGACAGTTTCGGCATTGTCATTTTCAATGAAGTAAGGCCTAATCACATCTGGATCAAAGAGCTCACCAGACAACAAGTTTTTTTGTGTAATGGTCTCCCTTCGATTTTCGGAGGATACTCGGTTCTCGGAGCCCCTAACGAGGCAATTTACTTATTTACGTGAGAAATGTGCTTTGTTGCTAAAGCAGGTGTTGTTCAAAAACACCGCTGATTATTGTTCAAACACACCAACGACGTATATACGGCATTGTGAAGGTCAGCTGGATTCAGCTGATATGTGAGCTAGACTATATACATATGGATTTAGGATATAAATATAACTCCAAGTGCACAATACACCAATATGTGCCGTGAGAAAGTCACAGCCTTTGAGAGCAGGAAGACCGGAGACATTTCGGATCTTCACTTGCACTTTCACTTGCGTTATTGGAGTTGGAATAAGCAAAACGATGCTCCATAGCACTTACAATATCTGTAAACACTGGATGTCTCTTCAAATGTCTTTAAAATTTTACCAATTGCTTGAATAGTGCACCTCTCCTTCATCTTCTCTTAAAACTCGAAATGTGGTCACGTTTGAATGACCATTTTTGTAGTAGATTTTAACAATTTTAACACGAAAAGGATAACCCTATATTTTCCTAAACTAAGATAAGGACCATTTCTCTTCCGGAAAAGGAACCGGGAACCGATCAATTAAAAAAGTTCGATTTACATAACATTGTAAGAAGGGGTTTTTGTCTAAACAAGCAAATGTCGGGAACCGGACGAAAGGGAAAGTACAAACTGCTTGAAGTCTTGGTAGGTCTTGTGGATGCGAAATCAAGATCAAGGCTTCTAGAGATTCAATTAAATTCAGAGAGTACAATAAGAACGTACATCTAATTAGAACAGATATTGAGAGTGCACAGTTCTCTAAGGGGAACTTTAAAGCTGTTTTGCTCAAGCAGCTCTGGACAGTCCACTAAGCCACTGATGATGTCATAAATAAATAGTAATGATAAAGATCTTCGAAGAGCAAGAGATGTGAGATTTATTAGCATACATCGGGAAGTAAGGTAGGAGATCAGAGAAATGAAGCGGAAAAAGAACAAAACGAATAAACCTACATTGGACAGTTTCAAATCTAGAGGAATGCATAGAATAAATTAGATTCCAAATTAAGCTTTCAAACTCCAGCTTTGAACAAATCAAAGAATTATATACAATTTTACGCGATCTGTGAAATCGCCACCATACCACTGTAAAAAAGCAAAGTTAAATGAGCAAATTTCGTTCGAATATCTCGTAAACTGAGAGACTAGCTTAGCGTGCAACCAAATGAACCTACAAATAGACATGCCGTCATGACTAAATCAATTCAGCTCGTCATTCTTATCATCTTATCCTTCTGGTACTTACATACTACGGACCCAAGTTAATATACTATACATGAAAGATATAAAAATGGATGTTTAGAGTTCTCAACTTGGCCTGGTAGTAGGCTGATGTATATGTTCAGGCTCATAAATTATCTATTATTATCCGTGATTGTTTTTGCTAAGAGATGACTAAAATCATGGATTATCAGGAGAGGTGATTCAGATAATGTGCTGTTACGATAGATACAGACAAAAAAGGAAGGATGACAGAGTGGGAAATTCGTTATGTAGTCGTCTCGTTTGTATAATGAGTAGTTTATCCTGCAGTAACTTCTTGATCTTCGTAGTGTCAAGTTTTTGTTCCACTATAGCGGATGGCGGAGGTGATCTTGGTTGACGTAATACGTACTTCCCTATAGGAGAGTTCTGAATAGTATTGGATGAGACTCGGCATTTAAATGCTGTCGATATGCTGCTGTGTCATAGAAATATACATATTATATATATATACATAAAAGTTAAGATTCATTATTCAATTTATAATTTGAATTTCTAATTCCATCCCACAGGTTTCTATCGTAAAGACCATTTGCGCAAGCACACAAGATCACACATTGCACGCCGCGTCAAGTCTGAGGTATCAGCGCAGAATGTCAATGGCGCTAGCGGCACCGGAAACACTGTGCAGAACAATACGATACAAGGCTCCTGAGGGTCGTACAAGGACTTTTGGTAAATTTTCAAAGAAACTTCAACGCAAACTACAAACGCATTGAAAGCATCAACTGGTAGGCGCACACTTTACTCAAGACGCGTGTCGCCTATTAGTGGACGCAGTCAATGTGCGTGTAATTTGAAGTTTCTAGGAAAGTTTACCGAATGTCCTGCTGAGCCTTAAAGGATGGGAGAAAGGGTTAAAACCTGAAATTCTGCAGAGAGAATGCATATAGAAGTGATCTGTGTTTTGTTTTTTTTTCTTTTTTTTTTAAATTTTCAGATAAAAAATTGAAATATTTTTGTGTTTTATTGTATATGTAGTAGTTTTTGGCAAGTGGATGGATTAGCAATGTATGCGAATGAGTGAATTAAGCAAATCGCACAAAGTTATTTTAAATGAAAATAATATGACATTGCATTTGTAGTAGTTGAACGCCAATAATAACAGCAACTAGTTATAACTGAAACCGTTAAATAGCAATTTCGATGTACAAAATATTTATTTAAAATATGACGTTAGGAAAACAAAGACAAAAGAAAACAAGAAGTTAAACCAAATAATTATTTACGTATACCAAGAGTGAAGGTAGAAAATATTAAAGAAAACACGTAAATGAATTACAACAATGGCAACTCATTGAAAAAAAAACGCGCAAACGATTACAAACATTTAAATATACATATGTACATGCTTACATTTGTAGGCGGGTTGGCATGAATTTCGCTTAAATATGTAAGCGCATCTATGCACGGATATTATATAACTTATATGTATATGTATGTATAAGACATGAAGAAAATAAGTAAATAATTATTTAAAAATTAATTTAACATTTTCATTTAAGTCCTTTTTTCCAAGGGTCTGTGATCTTTTTTGGCTATAAATAATCCATAAAACGTGACACGTAAATACCCAACAATGAGACAGCTTGCAAATACTGTTGTTGTCAAGTTGTGATGGATTCACATGCACACTTGTATGCAAACATACATGTAAATAGCTGTGTATGATCAATATTTTCGCAAAAAAATACACTAATTTCTTACATATACATATGTATGTATGTAAACCAAATCACGTGCAATTTACTTTATTTCTATATTTAATTGTATAAATAATTTAATTTATTTTTATGATACAATTCCCATTTTGTTACGCTTTTTGTTTTGTTCAAGTTTTTCGCTAAATGTAATAAGAAATTAATGATTAAGTAAATTAATTAAGTTAAGTAAAGTGAAAACTCAATGTATTTACATAAGTGCAAGCAGACGCATAATTTATATATAATACACACAAACATACATACATACATATAATACATGCATATATGTTTTAAGAAAACACATGCATACTTAAACTTAAGCTAAATTCGATAATTTCCGTTAGAATTTTAATTGAAATTACAAATATTAAAAAACACCGTACTGCGCAATTCTTATTATAAATATCCAAATACATACATACATGCAAATTTATACACAAAAGCTTGTGTTTATACTACTATATCCGTATGTACATATACATACATATGTTTGTAAGTATGTTGTTTTAAGGAAAACTATATAAAATGTGTAGTGATGTAATGCAAAATATTGAAAATTCTCAAGTATGTATGTATGTACATATATACGAGCACTTATAAGAGCATTAAGTGCTGCATTGTTAACTACAAATAACAAATACGAAATTATTGTACACACAGAATCTACTGTAAAACAAAAACAAGAAACAAACACACAGATCTTCTATTTCTAGTTTAGGATTCAAATTAACACACGCATTCAGTGCTGAATTTGAGAAAAAAGTTTAAAATTAAATTATATTAATCGAACAACTAAAAATGCATACATATATTATATATTTTTATGTACATATAGAGATGTATTCATCTAAAATACATCAAATTCTGTAGTTATTAATTTTTGCAAAGTTTAAAATTCACATTTGAGCACGATACCGATACTCGTATCTAATATCATTTAGAAAACTTTAAAAAATCATTTTAACGCAAACTACTCTTTAGTATTAATCCATGAACATAGAGAGCCATGCTTCATCAAGATATTTGGTATAATTTAGCCAACATTAGTGGATATTTCTGACTCCCCCATAAAATGTATAAATAAGTTCTTCTTCTTCTTCTTAACACGTCTACTTTATTATTATTGTTCTTCTTCTTTTTCTTCCTTTTTCTTCATATTTACTGACGTAGACACCGCTTATACGTTACCGAAAAACCTTTCTCTCGAATTCTAACAACGCCGACTCTTCAGATGTTGTCATCGTTCACGCTTTATCTCCATAAGGCAGATGTTAGTGCTGGCGCCAAGATAGACTGTCTGCAGCAGCGTGAGAACCGAGTCTGGAGAAAGCCGAACTCTTTGCGTCTTTGCTAAGATCAATCCAAGGTCATCCAACCATATTCAGCAATGAAACTAATGCGTGAGCATTCACATATCTTCGCTCAGCCGGCAAGCCACTGACTCCGCGACTTTGTGGTTTTTCAAAAGGGAAATTCCTAGTCGAACTTCTGCATAGTCGGGCAATGAAATATCTGTCCCATCATCATCGAATGGGGTTTGCTATTCCACTGTCCTTCAGCAGGCCGGAGAACAGTTTCTTTCATCAATAAATTCTGTATCCTCTGAGCATCAGTCGCTCCTCCAACTCAAGCATTTCGGCTTTTTTTTTATCTAAACATGTATTTTGTTTCCCTCTGCAATACTCTATATCTATCCCACGAGTTTGCTTTCTTTCCACTGCACCACGTCAATCCTCACCATAATATCGTGCTAGCTGGTTTTTCGAATCTTTCGAAACCAACTACAGACAAAAATGTTTCGTGCACCAGCATAGTAGAACAGCTAATACCCATTTGGGCATGTTATGTGGTGGAGGCTATAGGCGCTTATAAAAGGCATCCTTGTAACCGCCGCCCTTGTCTTTCGTGTTTCTTCTCTTTGATGCGGAATGTCAGGACTCAGCGTTTGGCATTCCTCTTATCCGAGACGTTGATAACTTTTGCTCGGAGCTGGTTTCTGAGTGTCGATTCCCAAACATAGCGTACAACCTTGCTAGGCGAGTAGGTTCAACTTTAGTACGGATTTATATAGTGAGCCACTTGTTTCAAGACTGACGCAGCCACACCACTGGTGAATTGTCGCTGCGATTGGACTACGGCGAGCCCTAAAGCCGAATATGTCGACGTGGCTCCAGTAAAACTTCCTCTCCTTTAGCCGTGACTCAAGCCTCCACATCTTGCATAAGGGTTGCTGATATTTTCAGGTTGTTCGACGTGTAAATAAAAGTACCCAGAAGCTTAACTACACCCCATTACGCCCTTGCATGCTCTTAAAGAAATTTCTAATTATCGTCAGCAAATTTCATAAACGTTTTTTTTTAAGAGTCTACCTTGTGCAATGAGTCGATATTTGGGGGAAAATCAAAACGCCAATGGTTCATACGGCACAAACGTCAGTGATGACGTTACTGCGATGGCAACTGTGCATTTACACAACGTTCGCATGAGATAGGTTCGACCAGCTGAGTCGGTATAGTCAGAGTTTCTGTTAGATATATTAGCAGTCGGCGGTTACAAATTATTAAATAAATAAGCGTCGCGCAAGATTAAGCCGTTAAAGAGCTACAACTGCATTTCGACTTGCCAACTAATTGCTGAAATTTCACGGAAGTGATAACCTGAATGTCAAGCAAACAAATTCCAAAGACAGTATAAAGAAGTATTCATTTTAAACAAAATTTTGTTGCATTCTAAAAATAATATACAAATAAATACAAACATTGCCATTGTAACATTAAGTACATTTTAAGAAAATAACCACTGAACAATAAACAATATAAAGCAAAAACAATATACAATAAATATTTAAAAATACAAATTTTGCAGTAAACTTATAGTTCAATTCAAGTTCATACAAATAATAAATATAAAAAATAAAATCAAGTACATGACTAATTAAGATGAACATACATACATACATACATTAAAAAAAGAACAAAAACAAATTTATTTTTTGTAAGTTAGTTAAATAAGCAGATTACATACATAGAAACATATAAATATAAAACTAACAAATAAACTCAGTTAAGGCAATATATGGAATATTAAATAATATTAACATAAAAATAAAAAAGGACATCTTCAAAATCACCAAAACAATGGAGATTATTTTTCTACCAGCTACCATAAATGCACATACAATGTACACATGTACGTACTACATAATATAAAAGTATTATACTACATATGTATGTATGATAACAAACTAAAATGACAGCAACGTGAAATTTTTCACGAAAATGTACTGAAAACATTTTACCATATACCTACTTACATATGTATACTTAAGAATGCCTGTTTGTACTAAGGCGATTTTTCTGGCGATTCAGACATTCGACAAACAATTGTACGTACTCCAAACTGTCAAATGTATTGATTTTACCAGAATTATGCGCGTCAAACTTAAAAAATATTAACAAAAACAAGAAAAAAATAAATAAAACAACAAAAAGCGAATTAAAGTTCAAACACTTATTTCAAGTGACAGCAAATATTTGTTCAAACTAAATGCATTTGATTCAGCACTTACATATACATACATACATACATAAATATATCGTATTGCAAAAGAAACAAGATAAAGTTTAGACTCTTAATTAATGCTGCAAATAATTACCTACATACATATATAAATATATAAATTCCATAGACACCCGTACTACTCAAAGGGTTGATAAAACCAATATTCATAGACACAAATTAATTATAAATGCAATAAATATAATCAATACAGCTTAAACAGACGTTTAATAAATATAATTAAAAAAATAATACACGCCTCCACAATCTCCATATAATACTTAAGTTGAAAACAAACTGAACGCCACGGGCAACGAGCTACGAGCTGTCAAATTATCGTTGGCAACAACGGTGCCCATGCAAATTATTGATGCTGTGAAATCTATACATTTTATGCAGTATTGGCAACGCTATGGGTACTCGTTTCTAATTCGACGACAGCAACAACGGGTAACGAAGCTAGATGTTCATTTTTTTCGACCTGTCGATCTTCATAGCATTTTTTATATTTAACAAAAAAAATTATATGTTTTACAATCAATGTTAGACTAAATGCTTATACATTCATAAATACATATGTATGTCAAAGAACGTATACTAATTAGAAGGGAAAAGAACTGTGAACCAATTAAAAACTTTTGTTAAGGTGAATAGTGAGGTGCCACAACCAGATTAAACCTTCCTTCAAATTTCTCGCGATTTTCGTAGCACAGCGGGGCAATTATAACGGCGAAACGAAATTTCGTAACAAAACAAAAATGAGCTGATTGAATTGAAAAAAAAAACGTTTGAATATGCGCAAGCATTCATAGATACACTAGACAAAATGAAAATCCTGAAAGGATCCGTATTTTTTTCTTTGTGTCCCCGATTGTCGCGCAATCAATGTCAAGTAAAGTCAAAAATTATATAAAAAATTCCAAAATGATTACAAACTCTTTGCAAAAAGAA